GGTGTGGGGTGGTGGGTGTGGGTGTGGGGTGGTGGGTGTGGGTGTGGTTATATATCTCTCATTCATACACACCCACACCCACACCCCACCTAATGCTATAAAGATGATGGAACAATATATGATCCTTATACTCGAAGTTTAATATCATCAACAAGATTTATTTTTAATTATGCTATGGCATATATTCATTTTGGTAAAGATGATTATCTTCAACGAACACGTCATGGTCTAAATTACATTCGAAATGTGCATCGTAATCCAAAAACAGGTGGTTATGCATGGATTATTTATGATGGAAAAATTACTGATGATACAAATCATTGTTATGGTTTAGCATTTGTTATGTTAGCATATGCATGTGCATTACGTGTTGGTATTGAACAAGCACGTGAATAGATTCGTGAAACATATGATATAATGGAAGAACATTTTTGGTTAAAAGAAAAAGGTTTATATGCAAATGAAGCAACACGTGATTGGCAATTAAAAGATTATCGTGGTCAAAATGATAATATGCATGCATATGCAGTAACGAAAGATGAAATTTATTTAGAACGTGCTAAAATTGTAGCTAAAGTTATGACAGAAAGTTCAAAAGAATTAAATTATCAAATATGGAAACATTATTATCCTGATTGCACACCCGATTTTGAATATAATAAAAATGTTCGAACAAATTCATTACGTCCATGGGGTGTTCAAACAGGTTATCAAACTGAATGGGCTAAACTTTTACTTATACTTGATCGACATGATCCACAACCATGACATCTTGAGCGTGCTATTCGTTTATTTGATCATGCAATGAAATATGGTCGGGATGAAGAAAATGGTGGATTAATTTATGGTTATGATCTTGAAGGAAATTTGTATGATGATGACAAATATTTTTGGGTACAATGTGAAAGTTTGGCAACAACAGCTTTACTTGGTGATAAATTAAACGATGAAAAATATTGGCGACGGTATGATAAAATATGAGATTATAGTTGGAAATATTTTGTCGATCATAAATATGGTGGATGGTATAGAATATTAGCATCAACAAATGAGAAATATTCTGATGAAAAATCACCAACTGGAAAAACTGATTATCATACAATGGGTGTTTTTGCTATGAAGTACTCAATGTTATTCATAAAGAATAATTCTAGAGAATTTTTATTTGATAAAATATGAAAATTATATTCTAAAATTTATCATATATAGGTGGCAGTTGATTTTTAATGTTTTGTTTTTGTAATGAATCTTCTTATGTTGATTTATTATGATTAATAAAAAAAATTCAAATAAGGATCTAATACTTTGAGATAAAACAATGTCTTTGATGTTCCATCGCATTGTCTTTCTTGTTTTTTGACTAGTTTAAGTTGACAATCATTAATCAACAAAGTATCAATAAGAAAAATTCAGTAGCTACTAATAATTTCAACATTAAATCATCTCAATTGATTGTCTATAGAAATTATATTCACTATTATCTTCACTGAATAACGTCGGAAAGAACTCATCAATTATTGTGATCAAATATTCGTCAGCAGGGTGTGGGTGTGGGTGTGCATATGACTCATTGCTTCATCCATACCCACACACATACCATTGCTCTCATCTTGCAGAAAAATTGTCTCATGTTCATGGTAATCTATGTTTTATTCACTTCAACATAAAGCCCAATGGAACTTCTTTCTTAGAACACTCGTGCTCCGATAGTTATCATTAATCGAATGATTAAACAAAAATCCAATGAGTATCTTATTGCTAGTCGTTGTCTAATTTTATCAGATCTGAACCACCTGAAATCATATTAAAATGAATTTTGTTGCATATGTATGTTTGTTTTTGGCTTCTTTGTGATCACGCGGCGATCATTCGTTCTGTAAATATTCTACTGTTTCTAGGCGCAGTTCTTCTTAATAGAATGCATATTTGAATGGAATGAAAAAAAGCGAAAAAGAAGGAGGCAAAGCACACAGAAACGAAAGAAAAAACATTGCCATGCAGCACAAGTAAGAATCGAGTCATTTAAAAAAGAATAAGCAGGCAGTGTATAACTCAAAATATTTAAATAAGCAGCAAACATCATGGTTGCAATTATTTGACTGTGGTGAGTTAATTATTAGGAAGATTCGAAAGGGAAAGTAACCGTTTTGAATGCTATATACTTAGTGTTGAGACACTGCGAATATTAGTAATAGTTAATACAGATATGACATTGACAATCATGGTCGACTTTACATAAGCTGATCGATACGTCAATGTGCCTGGAGCAATCCAAAACTAGTCTCGTCAAGGTCTTATTTTCGTATAGTAAACAAAAAAATTTTCCTTTTTGTGAATAGATAGAACGTCTTTCATTCTATCTGTTTATGCTATTTGATCGATCGTCACTAAGTACTAGAATAAAAAACCTTGGTGAGAACTGTTTTTGTTGGAAGCTGGCAGGTTACATTATTCTCTCTACCGAAAGGAGGGTAATGCGCTGAGTAGCTCCCACAACCAAATATTAGTTCGTTAATTCTCATTGCAGAATGAAAGAAAAAATGTATATATACATATATGTATATATTTGCGGTGCAGACCGCAAGAAAAAAAGTATACAAAATGAAAGAGGTGTATACATCGATTTGATTGGCTGCAGAACGACAGAAAAAGAAAATATTGATATAAACACATAGTAAGCCGACAGAGCGAAGAAAGCATAGCGTTTTAAGTGAATCAACATCAAATCCACTACGTGTAGCGACTTCTTAAAAAACTAAATGGGCCGAGACTTTGATGAATACTAGTAGATAAAAAAAAATTCTTTATCAATCTGTATTTTTACTTCTTTTCAGAAAAGTGATTATAACCGAGAAATAGTCGATAAAATCTGTTCAATCCAAACAGATATAAAATATTACCATTATACCGTATTCTTATTGATCGTCGAATTTCACTGCTCAGTATTAGTCTACTTAATCAATAATTTTCTTCAGAAAAAAAAGGCCGAAAAATCTGACTTCTTGAGATGATTTGTCTTTTGCCAAGCTACAATTTAATATAAAGTAGTCCCTCTGAAAAAGTGATCGGAGTATTTCAGAAATTAGCGCTACTAAGTTCATAACTGTATTTGCCATTTGATATTGATTTGGGTGTGGGCAGCGGGGGGCCAAAGAGCGCCAGTTGCACTGGTAACTATTGGTTACTGCCATACCTTGCCATACCAATTAGCAGAGCAAGTGACGTTCTTCGGCCCGCCACTGGGTGTGGGTGTGGTGGTTGTAGGTGTGGATGTGGGTGGGTGTAAATGTGAGTCGGATATGGATGTGAATCTTCTCTGAGTTCACACACACCCCAAATCGAAATATTTTAATCGTTATGCTAGAAAGTTAAATATGCGTCTTGACGCATTGACTGAAGATTCAGAATCATGAAATTAAAGATAATGTAAAATAAACATAGGTCGATGGAAGCGAAAACTCTGCGACTGATTATTTTAGTAGATTCCTATCATACTATTTTCCATCCAGTAGAGGGTTTAGCGACGTTTCCATCGCGTTACTTGTATTATATCATCATTCCTGACGGTGCAGTTGGGTGTAGGTGGCTGGGTGGCTGGGATGTGGATTGTGGGTGCGCGAGTAGATGTGTGCTTTGCTTTCGTCCACACCCACACTGTACACAACACCCTACACCCATATCCACTCACACACCCACACCCACACCCTGTTATGTATACATCCGCCTGACCGAAAATAGTATCACTTGATATATTTAATATATCATTACTATAAATTAACAGTTTGGCAAAATTAATTATATATTTTGATAGGCTGCGAAATTCTCTACAACACTATATGTAGATGCTTTGGATTGCACCTATCCCCTAGAAATAAATTCAAGTAGAGTAAATGTACCCTCATCATCAGATTCTCTGAAGATCCTCTTTTTCTTCAATTTCATCCGTTTTTTTCAAATTTACTTTGTCATATAGAAACAAGGTAGTACAAAATAAAGTATGCAAGCTGAAAATTTTTATCACGTTGTGCTTTGCCAGCCATTATTAGCTATTATTTGACTACAAATATTTGGTATATTATTTCTATAACCACATATGACGTTTTATGGAATCACATTTCATATTTGCTCAAATAAACGCTCTAAATGTTGTTGAGAGTTTGGGTAATTCGTTTGCACATACCGATTCATCCAAGACTAAAAACATTCTCAACAGCATTGAGATCTGGACCAATAGGCGGATAGTCATTCATAACACTACGTTATAAACTAATGTATCCAACTAAATTATATTCTTAAGAAAATAGAAAGAAAAGTCAGAGAACGATGACGTATATAGCATTTGAAAAGAAAGAGAAGAATAAATTACTCATTATTCTTACCATTATGCTCTGTAGATAAAAACGATTACATATGCGTATGAAAATACGCTGGACATCTCAAAATTTTCCTCTTCACTGCTATTTTAGTACACTTTCAGCTTGCATACTTAATTTTGTACTAACTTGTTTCTATATGACAAAATAAATTTGAAAAAAAAACGGATGAAACAGAAGAAAAAGTGCATCTTCAGAGAATCTGATAATGAGAGTACCTTTACTGTACTTAAATTTGTTGCTAGGGGATAGGTGCAGTCAAAAGCATCTGTATATAAAGTTGTAGAGAATTCCACAGCCTATCAGAATATATAATTAATTTTGTCAAAAATGTTAATTTATAGTAATGATATATTGAATATATCAAGTGACACTATTTTTGGTCTGGGGGATATATATATATAAGAGTTTTTATTTCGACTAAATATACTATAGAGGCATAGAAGTTAGATGGACCAAATAAGAAGTATGTTCGACAGAACGTGAAAGATAATAGAGAAATTTGAAAAGCAAGAATATAGTTTTTATCATCTTATTGTCAGAAATTAAATTGTTAAATTGCTAAAGTAAAAATAGAGAAGAACAGTACAATAAGTAATTTTCGAATGTGGATACATCATTTTATTTAATTTTTGGTCTATCTTCATTTATTTACAAGATATTGAAAAATCAAAGTTTGTTGTCAATTACTTTTGCAAAGTTTTTGACAGATAAATAAATTATGTTGATTGATGCATTAAATAACAATATGAAATTTAATTGACGACGAAATGACATTATATAGTCATCAATAATTTTCACTTGTTTTCTCCTGTACAAATCACATACAATAACGTATAAAAACAAAGATAAAAAAAAGTGGTAAGCGTCAAGAATATAATATAATTCGGATAGTGTGTTTTGAAATTGTATCAATCATATTTCGAAAGTGATTGATCCGATTAGAAGAAAAACACGATCGATTTTAACTTTGGTTAATGAATTTCTATCGTATTCTATAATTTACTAAAACACGTCATCTGTAATTATTGAAAATCTAAATCATATATTTTGTTCTCGCTTATTGAATAGATGATACGCCTTTTTGGTATAAACATTTGTTGAACGAAAAAAAGAGTACATTTTGAAAGGCCTCCTGTTTATGTGAAAGAAAGAATTTGAGAAATTTGTTTTATGTTTTGTTGTGTGATCTGTTGGAAAAAAAAACTGTCCTTTTTTTTGTGTTATTTCATGTCATGTTCGTTGTTAAATAATTAAAAGAATAGAGCTTTCGCTATTTCGTTTTTTTTCTCTTTATTGTCCTTCGAACATGTAATTGAGAAATAAATACGATATTCACATTTTTCACCCACTCATACATAAAAGACTTCAATCTTTTTATAATTTACTATAAAAGTACGTTTATTTTTTTTGTGATCTCATTTGTATGAAACTAAGATTAAATATTTTTGGCATGAGTACTGATCGATACCTCTGCATCTCTAATGAATTAAGGAATATATAGTATTTTGTGTAAGTAGCATTTTTAATTTTTACAGCGAATTAGTATCTTCATCTTCATCAGAATCTTAATTGAGAGATAGTTAGAAAAAAAAACTATTTTATTGATAAATTATTTTTCTCATCTTCGAAATATATATGAAACGCCGCAATGAGAATTTCTAACTTCACGATTGTTGTTTGAAATGATCGCATGAAAAAAAATCAAATAAACGTTATGTATTGACAATAAAAACAATAGATAAATATTACTGTTCATTCAAAGTCTGTGAAGTTTTAAATAACCGTAGAAGATTGATTAACAACTAAACAAATATTATTAACGTCATTATCGTTTGTTATTGATAATGCTAATAATAAATCAGTTGACGAGTTCATGATGAATAATTATATGTTGTTGTTTTAACAGTAAATCACTTTCCATTAATTTTCTCTTTATCTCTCTATCCTTTCTCATTCTGTACATATCGTAAATAGTTGTAATTAAAATTTAGTTCTGTTTATAATTTGACTATTCATCATATAATCAAGAATAGTCACAACTCAAACAGGAGTTATATCTAAAGAATATCCAGTACAAATTAAAAATACAGGGTGGTCCAAAAAAAACTTACCCCGTTCCTCCCCCCAACTGTCTTTTAACTTCTTTTTTTTATGAACAAGTGCATTTCAAATACAAAACTATTTTTATTTCAAAAACTATAAACATCGATAATCATCATGAGTTAGGCGTTGCCCGCCATTTTTAGTTAACAGAGAAGTTCGTCTAACCATTGATGAGATTATAGATTGACATTGCTGGGACGAAATTGATTGCCAAATTTTTTTGATTTGTGATTCCAGTTGATTGATAGTTAAATATTTCATATCAAGTAGTTTTTCACGGATAATGCCCCACACTATTTCTATAGCCCATACATCATCAAATTTAGGGCTTTGGACAGCGACAGGAATTCTTTCATTGAATAAGGCATCGATTTGTTGAAGCACCGCTTGGGTGCGATGAATACGTGCAGCATCATCTTGAAAGATTGGTATCTGATTTCGATATTGTTGCATAATAGCTGGATAAGCAATAGTTCTAATGAGATCAGCATATCGTGTACCATTCATTGTTTTCTTGGCACGTTTTGGCCATTGATTTCCTTCCAAAAACTCATCGATGAACACTGGTGCCTCTCATGGAATTAAACCATTCCAACTTATGGCACCCCAAAGCATAATACCAGGAGAAAAGTTTTCACGACCGTAATAACCACCATGTTTATCAGCATCTTGTCGACTGGTGGACCAAATAATATCATTTTTGGAGTTGAACTGTGGTGTAGACGGAAGGGTATAGAAAAGTCAGTATTCACAAGTCATTGCCATTTTGATGAATGTACTTGTGGATTGAGTTTCCAGTATTGCTTTAGCCAAAATGCGAATTTTTTTCTTTTCATTCGATGTTCGTTTGTGATCTTAGACGATGTTTTACGATGGTATGGTTTGGCAAATTTTTTCGAATTACGTAGAACTGTAGATCTTGAAACATTCACCTTTGGTGCAACATTTCGAATTGAACGTCTTCTTTTATTTAAAACTAATCGTTTCAATTTATTTGACACTTGTTTTGATGATGCAGTTGGTGAACGACTGGAGCCTGATCGACGTAAAGGTGTTGTACCAGTTTCATGAAATTTCTTTAATTGATATTTTATATTTTGTAAGAGAGAATTTTGACATGAGTATTTTATTTTTTCTCGTTCCAGCATCGATTTTATATCTGATAAAATTCTTTTGGCTCCCCAATCAGGATGAAGCTTTTTCAAGATGCCAACTGTTTCTCGTACTAGCTTTCTTCCAGTTCTATTCATCTGAAACAAAAAGAAAATCAAAAAATTCTTTGCAAGTTGAATAATCAATATTTTGAAGTGGGGGGGGGGGGGGGGGTAAGTTTTTTTTGGACCACCCTGTATATTCACACTGAGTACACGGATAACAAATGCACAAAAGTTAGAATAAAACTGTCCACTATTGGAATAAAAATCAATTTTCAGCTATTCATAACATCATCAAACAATTGCGATTTTTCATTCTTTTCTAGACTCTGTCTACCATATATATAGGGATGCACCATGTTTTAGGGCTCATTTGAGTTGCAAAACGACTAGTAGTAACAAGTAAGAAAAATTGATTTTTAAGCAGTATTATTTAATCGACAAATGATCCTTTTTAGTCTTTTTGAGACTCTGCCTACCATATATATAGGGGTGCACCACATATTCGTGCTCTTTCGAGTTGAAGAATAGGCAGAAGTAACAAGTATGAAAAATCGATTTTTAAGTAGTATTATTCATAAAAGAAACGATCTTTCCCATCTTTACAAATCGCTTTTTGTCTCAAGTACCTCATTCCGAGGTATTTTTGAAACTTAAAAATCTACTTTCATACATAGGAACCTTTTTTTGAATGATACCTGGTTTTCAAGGTAGTTTTGGGGATAATTACGATGTTCAGAAAAAAAAAGATCTTTAATGATCTTTAATGATATTTATCTTTGAAGTACCTGATATTAGGATATTTTTCGTGCTTGAATTTATATTTTCATAAAGAAAGATTTTTTTGTAGAAGAATACCTTATTCCGTAGACATTTTCAAGATTAAAATACTGTGTTTGAATGAAAAGATCTTTAAAGACCTTGAAATATAGCGGGTGTCCCAGAAATAATGGATGTCTCAGTATTTTGGTGATATCTCTATTGATTTTCATTCGTTCCAATCCAATTTTTGTTTTGAAATATTCGCCTTGTTATCCTCTACAAGAATCTATATTTCGTATTTCATTCGAACTTATTTTGCCTGTACTGCACAATGAAAAGTAAAGACCTTCAAAAAATAGGTTTTTTGTAAATACCAAGATGGTGATAGTACAACTAATATTTTTTGAGATTTGAACGGCTCTTTGGGACTCAATACCATCCAAAGATGGTGTAACATGATCCGTCACACCGGTTCTATCCAGTTATCAACACCACCGGGTAGACCACGTCTTTGTTGAATCAGTAAAATAATTCAAAAAGTTAAACACAAACTCGATCAAAAGAAGCTAGTATCAGTTCAAAGTTTGGCTAAAGATTACGGCATGTCCAAGTCAAGTGTACATCGAATACTGAAAGAAGATCTAGAACTCTATCCATACAAAATGATAATCGAACCGAAACTCACCAACGAACATAAAATCAATCGAAAAAAATTCGCTAATTGGGTCTTTAACAATTTTCGAAAAGAAGACACCATGTGGATTTTATTTTCAGATGAAAAAATGTTCGATATCGATGGTGTATACAATTTCCAAAACCAACGTATTTGGGCAGCAAGTCATGCTGAAGCAAATGAAAGAGGTGGCATTAAAATATGGAAATGAGACCTTTGAAGAACATTGGACATTTCAACAGGACGGTGCGAAACCTCACATCCATCACCTAACACAAAAATGATGCATGGACAAATTTCCATCGTTCATAGATAAAGATCATTGACCACCGAATAGTCTAGATTTGAATCCGTTGGACTATTCTATTTGGGACGAATTTGCACAAACCATCAACTGGAACAACGTAACATCCAAAGACACACTTATCGAAGAATTGAAACGTGCAGTCAAAAATATTCGACAAGATGTTGTTTTAAAAAGTTGTTCATCTTGGACTATTCGTTTAACGCATGTCTTAAAAAATAATGGATGTTACTTGAAAAAATAAACCACATGTCATTTTGTAGAGCATGCAAAGCCCTACCCTTTGAAAAAAAATCAATCCTAAACAAATGAATATTAAGAGCGATATCATCAAAATACTGAGACACCCGTTATTTATCGATCTTTCAAGGTCTTTAAAGATCTGTATCGATATTTTTTTGTACCTGGTTGGGCTGGAGTTTCTGAGAGTACAAACTGAGGAGTGTAGAAGAGATCTTTAAAGACTTCTTGATAGCTATCATATGCCTTAGCTTTTTTTTGGTTTGCCGAAAGTGGGAACGGCCGTATACGATGAACTTACGATCGTATAGAGCCGTATACGCTGATATTACGGTCGTGAACGATGTCGTATAAGGTATTGCCCATCGGCATTGATGCCGTGTCAAGTCATAATTACGGTCGTATATTGTTTCCGTATTATGCCGTTTACGGCACGGCAAAATACCACCGTCATACAGCCCATGGAAATACGGCGAGGATACAGCCGTAAGCAGCCGTATTTCCACCGTATACGGCGGTATACGATCGTTTCTGGTTACCGTAATGCTCGGTCTGGGAACAATATACTTAAAATTTTGTTGGATGTTATACTTATTATTTGCAAATATTAAAAGACAAGAAATCTCTTTAAAAAATAGATAAAAGACATAGATGAGAAATGACTTGAATGATATTATAAATATGATAGAAATGATAAATCGAAAAAAATGATGTAAGAATATAAAACTTTATTTAATATTTTAGATTTCTTTTGTATAATTTATTTGAAATATTAAATAACTCATAAAGAAATGAAAATAACATCGACAAACGGTAATGCGTCTCGTTTAAATAATGACAATAAAAGATTAGAATATATTTGTTCTTATATAAGATATAAATTTGATAATCTATTTGCTCATGGTTTAATTTTTATTATTCCATTATTAACTATTATAAGTGTAATTATTATATTAATATTTAGTATAATTTATTATTATACTAAAGGAGTATCTAATTATAAAGATGCATTATGGGAAACATTTACACGTATACTTGATCCATGTGCAGCAGCACACGATGAAGGTCTAAAACATCGAGTTATATCTGGAATTGTTATACTTTGTGGTCTTGTTATTATTGCCATATTAATTGGTGCAATTGTAACTTTTATGGAGGAAAAATTAAATGAATTAAAAAAAGGACGTACAACAGTTATTGAAAAGAATCATACAAGTAAAATTTATAAATTAAATTGATTAAATATTCAAACAGAAAAAATTTATGCCTCTTTCTTTTTTTTTTGTGTTTAGTAATTTTAGGTTGGTCACCAAAAATATTTGATATTATTAATGAATTAATTATTGCAAATGAAAATCAACGTAATCCTTCAATCGTTATTTTGACATCAAAAGATAATAGTGAAGTTAAATATATGATTAAAGATAAAATAAATAATTCAAGAAATACAAGAATTATTTATAGAAATGGTGATCCTATGTCGGTATGTAAAAAATACAAAAAATTCTTTTTTTTTTGACAAATGCTCTTCTTTTTGTCTCTCCCTTTTACTAATAGTATGACAATGAAAAAATAATAATATTCTGACTGCAGCGTGTTCTTCCACTTTCCCTCCCTTATTCGCTCATCTTATAGGCTATAAAAATTCATTTAAAGAATATTTTCCAAGTACTCTAATAATTAAAAAAAATAGTTTTTCCAAAAATTCCAACCGAAAACCAGAAAACATTGATTCGAATTTTTTTTGGACAACGCTCATCTGATTATTTGCTGTGTCTCTTTCGTAATAACGAATGCCGAAGAGAATTTTTTGTTCAATTTTCTATTTTATTGTCTATATCTAAATATCATAAATAAATGATTGCATTATATGTATTTTATTACTTTTAGATCAATGATTTAAATAAATTGAGTCTTAATCAAGCACGATCAATAATTATACTGGCACCGAAATTAAACAATCCTGATGTTAGAATAATAAAAACAATATTAGCAATTAGAAATAATCCACGACGAAATAAGATTAATTTTCATATTGTAGCCGAAATAAAAGAACGAATTAATTTAGAAGCGGCAATAATTGCAGGTTTTTATTAGATTTTATATATTGAAATATTTTTTTTTACATGTTTTACTCATCTTGTTTTTATATAAGTACTTCGCTCGAACACATAAGTTGCTGTCTAATGTCACATGAATAATAAAATGAATAATTTAGCTTTGTTCGCAGAACTGTTGAATGGTAAAAAATAGAATATTTGTTTTTTTTAGGCGGAGATGAAGCATTATTTGTCTATGCCAATGAAATAATTGCACGTATTATAGCTCAATCATGTCGACAAAGGGGTTTAAGTGTAATATTATCAAGTTTATTATCATTTCAAGGTGATGAAATTTATTTTAAACATGAAAGTGCACTTGTTGGTAGAACATTTTATGATGCTGTATTTTCATATGATAAATGTTCAGTAATTGGATTAATGTTATCCGATGGAACAGTTAAAATATTTCCTCGATTAAATACAATAATAAATATTGGTGATCAAATTATTGTTATCGCTGAAGATGATCATAAAATTATATTATCATCCGATTATTTGTCACGTATTAATTATGAATATTCAGGATCAAAATCACCATTATTATTTAATCATAATACAGTTTTATTATCCAATCCTGTGACTAGAAGAGCGACAAAAATAATTGAACGAAATCTTCTACTCGGATGGAATAAAAAAGCTCCATTAATTGCTAGAGAATTGGATACTTATGTTGCTCGTGGTAGTGAACTACATATATTAACAAATTCGAATATAATAACACAATTTATAAATGAACAATTAGTTAATGAATTAACAGAACAAAAAATATTTGTACATTCTGGAAGCTTCACAAATAAAGTTGATTTAGAAAAATTAAATTTATTTTCTTATGATTATGTTATATTATTAGCGAATGAAGAAAGTGAACAACAAAATTTAATTGAAGAAGCTGATGCTGAATGTTTAATTTGTTTATTATATTTAAAAGATATTATTGATAAATCAAATAATGAAAAAACATTTAGTATAATAGCAGAAATGTATGATATACGTAATTGTCAATTAGCAAATAGAACAAGTGCCGATGATTTTATCGTTAGTCCAAATTTAATATCAAAATATATTTCACAATTATCTGAAAATAAAAATATTAAAAAGGTTTATGATGTTTTATTAACAGCTGATGGTTCTGAGATTTATTTATGTTTAGCATCGATGTTCGTTCCACTAGAAACACCAATTAGTTATTATCAAATTTTACAAGAAACATTAAAATATCAATATTTAGCAATTGGCTATAGATTAATGAAATATTTACATGATGAAACAAGATTTTTTGGAATTGTTTTAAATCCAGATAAACAAGAACAAATTATATTTTCAAAAAATGATAAAATTATTATTTTAGCTGAAAACTTTATGTCATTTACTCCCCGTAGGACGCAAATTCGTAGATACCGGCTCGCTATTAGCGGTAAACCGCCGTAAATTACAGTAATGGGAGCCAGGCCTCGAAACGGACCAATTTTTGATGGCCCGATCCGGTCCGTATAACAATGGCACTATTATAAATACATTTTTTTTTACAAAAAGTTTTTTATATAACGGAACTCAATGGTTATTGGAGTGTGTCGGATGTGGGTCTGGGGTGTGGGTGAGTTTGTGTGTGAGTGTGTTGTGACGATTTTAGGTATAATAGGCATAGTTCGAGAGCTATTATTCTAATACTTTATTAGTGTAAGTAAAATCGTATCGTACTGTATATTTCTCGCTCCTTATGTACTATTTCTTAACATAGAAGGATCTTGGAACATACAGTAAACACAATGACAGAAAAATATGTGTTTAAGGGCAAAGTCAAAGAAAAGCAGAGGTTAGGTAAGGATTGTAGTTAACCCCATACATATAACGAATGGAAAAACATTGCGGTTATTCCTTTTATGGATAAAATTATGTACGAGTTAAGGACAAAATAGTAATATCGTTTCAAAGTACATACAAGTAACGTTCATCGTCAAGCGATTCACTTAGCCCTAGACTGATAGAATACATGTACGGAAGGAATAACATAAAAAGCTACATTAAAAAAGTAATACGCAACATTGATAATATGACCAGTATATCTTAGGCGACCAGAAAACTTAATTTGGAGAATTCTCACTCTAAGTAAAGATGATGCATTTACAAATTTAATTTTTTTTTATCGTTTTTGTTTTATTTTTTTTTTTGCTTTTATGAATATAAATAGCGCCTAATAAGATTAGACAACAATACGATTTTTTTTATAATTATATTGGCGCTATTTGTACGTACAAAAATATGAATTATATTATTCATAAAATTTGAGTTTTATTAATCAATATTTTATGCTTAAATTCACGCATTAATTCTAAACTATTAATAAATTAGATATTCATTGATACAACATTGCACAATCAATCTTACAATAATGAATAATTTAAACTATTTCTTTAAATCCATACTGCTCATTTGGTCTGACTCTCACTAATTAAATGCTTGTGTAAGTAAGCCGTTTTACATCACTACCCAAATTATAGTTATTCCATTGACATTTTACCCATGATTATTATGGGTTCATTTACATCAGTCTTTAGATGGTCATTTGTACCATAGTTACCGGAATAGTTGTTTGTACCATGATTGCTATATGGTCACTTGTGCCATAGTTATGTGGTCGTTTCTACCAAAAAAATGACCGTTTGTGCCATAGTTACATGCTCATTTGTACCATAGTTACCTAGTTAATTTTAGTAAAAAAATGGCCGTTTGTGCCAAAAAAATGGTCACTTGTGCCAAAAAAATGGCCATTTGTGGCACGAAAATGGTCACTTGTGCCAAAAAAGTGGTCGTTTATGCCATAAAAATGGTCACGTGTGCCAAAAAAATGGCCATTTTGACTGCGTTACCGACAGACAGACGGACAGACAGACAGACAGACAGACACAGGTGAATTTCGGTTTCTAGACCCTAGCCTTTCAGTCTTGGGAATAGAAAGAAAATCTTATTTTATTGGCTTTGCGCGCCATTCGAAATATATATTTATTTTTATTTTAACGATCACATAGTTACCATATGGTAACCGTACGTGTTACAGACAGACAGACACAGGCGAATTTCCGTTTCTAGACCCTATACTTTCAGTCTAGGGAATAGAAGAAGAACGAACGGAAAAGGATATCGCGGTTATTCTGTTTTGTACGAGAAAAGAGCAAACCAATAATGTCAGTACAAGGTACATATAGAAAGATAGAAGTATGGATAAACAGAAAAAGACATTGCAGTCATTTTTATCGAGAAAGAGCAACAACTTGTGGCTGTTACATGTGTGAGTATGAGTGTGGATGTAGGTGTGTTGTTGATGTTTGTGTAAATCTTCAGTCCATTCAAACTCACATCCACACCCTAAATCGCTTCGAGTCAAACTCTTATTTTCTGGTCGATGTACACTTAGACAGAGCACCAGTCAGTAGAGAATTAAACTGTGCACATAATACACCACTTGGAGAGCCAACAGCGGTTCATGAACGCTGGTTTGCAAGGAAAACTCGAATCCACAGAATTTCCACCTTTTCAGGCAGCCCTGATAATGACCACATAAGACTGTTTCGATGAAAAAATTTTTCAAAAACGTTTGAAATACACGTAAGTCAGCTCAGTTTTTGATGTTGATTGCGAATATCATATTCATTTTGCTCAACGTTTTACTTTCCCTAACCGAAATCTGCAAAAACTTCATGTAAAGGGTGTGGGTGGAGGCTTTGGGTGTGGCTGTGGCTGTGTGAGTGTCGGTGTGTATGTGGGTGTAGGTGTTGATGTAGATATTCTTTTCACTCACACCCACACCCACACCCACACCCAGCTCATACAATTAGTGAAACAGGAGTTGGTGCTGAATTTGTGGAAAAGCTTAAATCATCAGGTACATCAGTAATTAATCAAGTTTTTGTCTAACCAGTTTTTCCTTTAGTTATAAATTCTCAAGCTGATAAACCAACACATGGTAAGTTAAATAGAATATCTTTTTTTTATTTTTGATCAGTTTTGTTCATAATATTTGTAGAAATGAAAGAAACTCGTCCAGAACCTGGAAGTATATACATGCTCCGGCTCAGTATACCTGAAGCATTTGGGATATTCGAAAGTGATGAACCAGAAATATCTTCATTTGCATCATGTGCATCTTCATCATCAACTGAAAGTTCTGCTAAATCTTCCGCATCACCAACAAAACCAAAAAAAAACAATATTACAAAGGACCATGTATCGTGCTGTTCAATCATTCTGAATCAACAACCATTCTTGCTATTACCAGATTTCACGGTCATGATCCCGCTTCTACTAATACAAATGCAACTATTGTATTACCTGAATTAACAAGAAATTATGTATTTAAACACCTTTTATCAATATATCCAAACCTTCCAGTTTTTGGTCGAAATAGCATCAAAATTAAATTAATTTGGGTGTGGGTGTGGCTGTGGGGTGGGTGTGGGTGTGGGGTGGGTGTAGGTGGGGGTGGGGGTGTGGGTGTGGGTGTGGGTGTGGATGGGTGGGGGTGGGGGTGTGGGTGTGGGTGGGTGTGGGTGTGGGTTCTAATCCGCCCTTTACTCCCACTCACACCTGCACCCGCACTCACACCCACCTACCAAACCCAGACCCACACCCACACACCCACACCCACCACACACCTTCCCACATCCACACCTTCCCACACCCGCACCTACACCCACACCCGTACACCCACACCCTCACCCACACCCACACCCTGAGTCAATAAACATCCATATATTAGGATGAGTTTTATTTAAACGTCTTTTGAATCTATAGTTATATCCTAAAGATACACGAGTTTTAGCTACAAATTATAGCTGACATACTGCTTCCCATGCCTTCGCTAAAATGATTAGTTTTTTCGGGGATATCGAATACATTCCATACAGATATTTGTCACATCCAATAATCATTAAAATATTTGAATAAATCACTTAATTCATTACGTTCAGAACCATTTAATTCTTGTCCAACATTTGCAAATAATGATGGAATATATTGTTCAGGTACTAGAGCTAGTGCCATCATTTGTCTAATAACACTACGTATCATAATATTATCTAAATAAGTTGATGATAAACCACGTGATTGAACATTTTTATATACACCTTGTGAAAAATGGAAAAAACATCTTCTCTGGATAGTTTTTTCTGTGAACTATAAAATTAAAAATATGTAGAGTTTAATCAGAAAGTTTTGATAAAAACTTCAAAGATAATTGTACCTCGAGACGAATGGCTTTAGCAATTCCTCGTTCAAAATCTGTCATAATCAGAAGAGGATCAAATTTTTTATTGAATCTTTTTGCTTCAGAAAATAAAATATGAAATAAATGCATGTATGTTGTCGCTTTACGATCTGGAAGAAGTGCGTACACTACCGGCACACCTCTCATAATAAAAAATATTTACATTAGCATGTAACAAATTTAAAAGTTCAAATATTTCATCAGATAGAGATAGCTTACATGTTCCATGAGAAATAGCTTGAATAATAAACATCTGGTCGAAGTTTGGTGGTGCAGTACAAAATGTACCATCCATGTGTAATCTTTGACTATCAAATAATAAATTAAGTTGAACATCTGTTGACCATATTAATAATCTTCCTGCAAATCGAACATCTCCTGATAGATTGATTTGAAATTTTGGATCATCACTATCATGTAATAATAAACGTTTTTTATTATGATAATCTGTTGTGTGTAAATCCGGAATGAGAAAAGAACATGATTGTGGAATTGGAGGAATCATTTTACGACGATTATGTACTAAATTATGACCTAAGACAAACATAAATAAAAAATAGACAAGAATATTAACATTGTATAAAAATATCAATACTATATCAATATTAGTTACACCAGGTAAAACAGCAAGAGCTTCAACTGTTAGCAAAGCATTGCGCATTTCGTGTTCAGCAATTATTTGTAATGGTAAAATTTCGCTTTCAGTTCTTTGTCGCATTTTTTCTCTCAAATTTCGGACTTCTAATTCAGCTGGATTTGGTAAATGAGAATGGTCAGTTACTTTTCCAGAATAACATAAAAATTCATCATCACGAGTTGCATGCAAGAGCACACCACAACTTCTATTAGCACACCGCCAAAACTTCAAATCTTTTTTTTTTATTAAAATTTTTAAATTGAAAATTATAACCATCTATGACTAACATTAATATTCGTTTATTTGATGTTGTTTTCGTAATTACAGATTTTGCTGAACTTAAGGATGACGATGAACATTCAGTTGAACATGAGGATGATGATAATGATGATTCAGTTGAATATGAAGAAAATGATGATGATGATGATTCAATTGAAGAAGAGAATAAAGATGATGTCTCATCAGTCATCATTATGTCTTGTGATGTCATATGAAAAAATTTTGTTTTGTTTGATTATTTATGAAATATGATATAGGTACAATCAATCGTAGTTCAATACTTTTTTCGTTCTTATTCCATTCATTCCCGTAAAAAGACGTCCTCTCTATAAAACAACTTAATTATCTATCGAACTATGTTTGGACTATAGCGTCATCTACGTCCAAATAACGTTATATCCACAAAAAAAACAATTGAGATTGAAGCACATTTTTACACGAGGGACCATTTTCGCGAAGACATTTAATCTTGAGGACATTTAACCTGAAGGACTTTTTTTCCAAGGACGAAATACCAGAGACATTTTTTCCTGAGGACGAAAAGTCAGAGAACATTTCGTGAAGGACATTTTTGCAAGGACATTCTAGACTGTTACCGACAGGTCTTCTCTTAGGCATCAGTTCTCATCAGCAAGCGAAATAAAAATAAAAAAATATTGTAAATACATTAGTAAT